CTGGATCATGAGGGCGCGCATGCGGGCCTTCAAGAAGTCGACGGCACCTACGAGGATTGAAGTGGCGGGTGGGGATGATTGGACGCAGATTTTGCAGGCGAGCGTGCGGGCGCCGAGGACGGTGGATCGGGCGACGTTGCGCGCTCTTAATGAGTCGGGGGCGGCTTGGGATATTGAGGATCGGGGCAGCCCTGCCCCTCAGAGGAATGCGCCTGCGCCCGATGGAACAGGCTTTGCGACCAGTATCGATTTGATGAAGTCGCTTTTTGAGCAGGCAAAGGGCCCGGCGCAGCCGGTGCAGGCGTCGCCAACGAAGGGTTTCGTGAAGGTTGGTTTCCCGCTCGCCTCCTAGCTCATCGGCTTCATTTGCCATTTGGTGTTTTAGCGTTGCCTCTTGTACCTATTTATTGTGAATACAGACTAAGATTGTTTTTCTGCTTTAGTGGCCTTACCAACAACGTCCCAAGGTCGACCCAGAGGAGGCCCCGTCGGTCCCTCGAACTAACTGGGGCCCCAACGAACTGTTGGTCACTACTCATCATGGAGAGCCTAACCTCCAGCCGGTTGACGGGAATCTGCCTGTCACCGACTCTTCGGCAGGATCGCCTGAGATGCTCGCTCGACTCCAACATTATATCGACAGCATCCCCGGCGAGGAGGGGCAGCCAATCGCTGGCCCCGAGTTCCGGGACCTTGCCCAGGGCGACTTTGCCTGGGAACTGGCTTCTCTTCTTTTTGACGACAATGGACACAACCTGCCTGTCTTATGGAGACAGTTGGTGTCTGACGCCACCGACCGCGCACTTGCCCAAGAATCCAGCCCTGAGGAAAAGGCCATCATCTGCCTTGCCGGCAACCGTGTGGCCGATGCTTGCGGCCACCTCCTTGCCGCAGGAAACTTCCGGTTGGCCACTCTCGTTTCCAGCATTGGCATGCAGAACAAGGACATGAAGGCTCAGCTCAAGGATTGGCGGGAGTCTAATGTCCTAGCCGAGTTCTCGAAGCCTATCCGGGCCATCTACGAGCTCTTGGCCGGCAACGCCTGTGTTTGCTCAGGCGTCAAGAATGCCCCTATTGAGAGCCGCGTTGACTCGTTTACCATTTCTCAGCGTTTCGGTCTGGATTGGAAGCGGTCGTTTGGTCTGCGTCTCTTCTACACCACTGGGACCGCCCCCAACGTTGCCATGGCGGTTCGTTCCTTCCAGGCCGACATCGAACAGGACAAGGAGCCGGAGCCGGACAGCGCACTGTGGTCACTTCTCAAGGCGTTTGCCAACCAGGACTTCGACTGGTCGGATACCCGCCTTGGCTGGCTCATGACCAAGGCGATCTACGCCACCGGTAAGGTCTCCTTCGGGCAAGACGCGGCCGAGAAGCTCGACATGGCATCGCTATCTTTTGCCTCGAGCCTGACGGTGCAGTCCCACTGGGTGCAGGCCACATTCGTCCTGCTCCAGCTATCCGACGCTGCCTCCCGCGAAGCTGCCGTGCGCGACCACCTCGGCCGCCACGCCCACCGCATCGGCTCCCCACGCAACCCAACCAGCGCCTTTTCCGCCCTGCGCAAGTTCGGCGTGCCCGAGGCGTGGATTTGGGAGGCCAAGGCCCTCGACTTCCGGACCCGCGGCGACTCGCAGCAAGAGTTCATCGCCCTCGTCTGGGCGCAGAACTACGCCGAGGCCAACCAGGCTTTTGTCCACCGCGTCGGGCCGGATCTGGTCATCGAGCGCGACTTCAACCGCCTGTTCCGCTTCGCGCAGCTGCTGTTCAAGGTCAAGGGCAAGTTGCAGGACTGGGACCACGCGGCTGCCGTGTATCTGCTCTATCCGATGGCGCGGCAGCAGAACAGGCAGCAGAAGCTCGATAAGTTCGATCATCAACTGTTTGACGGGCTGGTGGCGCTGCGCGGGCAGACGCATGGGGATATCCGCCAGGAGGCGGCGATTGGGGATATGGCGGAGGAATTGATCCGGTGTAGGGGCGGCGATCCGAGGCTGTTTGGCTTGTTGCCGGGGGATATCAGGGGGAAGTACATGCGGACGCAGGCGCTGGAGAATATCTGCTAAGGGGTGGTGGCGAATAAATTGTACGTACTTGGTAGGCGGGTGACAGAGGATGGGGGTAATTGCTTGGTGGGAGGAAAGAGAAGGGAAGGGCAGCTGGGCGCAGAATGGCCTGGAGATGAATGGGGAGTGAACGGTGGGAAGTGCTTTGCATGGGTTAATTATCGGTGCTGGCCAGCCGCGAGGCGAGCTGTGGCGTAGCGGTCTTGTCAGTATGTAGCTTACAATCACATGGTTGTCAACATGTTTGGTCCTCGAGGTGAATGTGAATGTGTTAATGCCTTGGTTCCATCACCGTGAAGTAGACACCTCAGACCCAAGTCCGCTCCATATCCTACTAAGTTAACTACCTTCAATGTCAGTCCCTTACGTAACGACAACAAACATCCAGTCAGCGATTAACTCCCG